TGTAGTTAATTTCATTATATATTGATATCTATGGTTCCCTATTTCAGTCTTTCAGGTTTGTTTTACTTTAAATACTTCTAAATCTGGATTGAGTTCTGGGTGGTGGTGCTGTGTATGGTAATATCATTTTCTTTTGAGAAAAATAAAAGCCGTCTTCTTATTTTTCTGTATTTAAACTTCTTAGGGTCACAAACCAGTTCCACTGAGAATACAATATCGATGTCACCCTGCTATCAGTGCTATCGCAAATGATCTGTTCTATGAAGGAAACCTCAGGAATGGGGTTTCAGAAACAGAGAGGAGCCCTTTATTGGAATGGTTACCCACCCTGTGTTTCTATAATGTCAAAGGACTTGAACAGGTAAATGACATTACTGTGGATGGTAGTAAACACATTTAATTTTCTGGTTTAATTTTATTGTTGTTGTTTATGTGATTTTACTTGGTCTTCACCTAGTCTTTCTGGGAAATTTAATTTAGGATCTGCTTTTTATTCCAGATTGAAAGAGATAACAGCTTTCATAATGTGGCAGAAGCTGCTTTTACACTCAAACTGATTCAATCACTGATTGCAAGTGGAATAGCAGGCTCTATGATTGGAGTGATAACATTATACAAATCCCAGATGTACAAGGTTTGTAATACATACTATAATATTGATCCCATATTAAATATTTCACGTACGTATTATAGTATTTAATATTACATTGTAAAGTTGTTTGGGTTTGGAAAACTTTGAGGCTATAGTTTATAATGTATTAAAAGAGACACATTCTGATTTTTGTCTGAGCTGGCTTTTTTCTATATAATTAAATGTAAATCTAACAAGATTTAATTAAATTCAGTTTACAGCTGTTAGGGTAAAAATGCAAATAAACAAATTAGAGGAAGGAAAATATGGTGTATGCTTTGTGTTTGGGGACAGATGGAATCTCTGTTTTTCAAAATGTTCTTCCATTATTATTAAATTTTACCAGTAAGTCATATATATATATACCAGATATAAATGTACATGTGAACCAATTTCTTCTAACAGATTTTCTTTTGTTCACGTTTTCATTACTTACTAATTTATTTATAATCTCTAAACTAGAACATTCAAATAAATTTCTTAGCAGTAGAAAATTAATCAGTTTGATTTTGTTTCATAATTACTATTGACTTCATAGATTCGTTTGTTATCTTAGAAACTAGGCAAATCTTTGCAGTCAAGAAATGAAAAGTATCTACTATTCGGTACATTTTTTAACAGTTGTTATTGGTACATCCATGGAATTCTGGTGTGGTGCTATAGGATAAGTATTGGCCCACATAGTTGGTTGACCGCTGTTCCGATTCACCAACCCCTCCTTGAAATCCTATACAGGATCGCTATGAGTTGGAACCAACTCAACAGCACTTACCAACAATAGCAGGGCTTAGGTCCATAGACCTTCATGATAAATTTCTTCATGATCCTTTCATTGTCTGATTACTATCTTGTTTCCTCCACAGCTTTGTCATTTACTCAGTTCTGTGGACTTCGACCATTGCAACATTAAAGCTGTCCAAGTGTCCACAGTAGATGCTTTTCAGGGAGCTGAAAAGGAGATCATTATTCTGTCCTGTGTAAGGACAAGACAAGTAGGATTCATCGATTCAGAGAAAAGAATGAATGTTGCATTGACCAGAGGAAGGAGGCATTTACTGATTGTGGGAAATTTAGCCTGTTTGAGGAAAAATCGGCTGTGGGGTCGTGTGATTCAACATTGTGAAGGTAAAATGAAAATGTTCTTAATTCAAGCATTTTGAATGAAAACTATCTTTTGGGGGTTAATACTTGGTAAGGTTTGAAAAGGAACAGAACTAAATTTGCTATTGTTGTAGGTGACTGAAATAATAATATTATAGGTATCATATCAAATCAGGGTATCATGTTTTCTATTTTTTTAAGGAAGAGAAGATGGATTACAACATGCAAGCCAATATGAACCACAGCTAAACCATCTCCTTAAAGATTATTTAGAAAAACAGAAGAAAATGAATGAAACAGAGAAACCACAAAGTAAATATCTTTCACAAAAAGATACTGTATAGATACTATATATTTATGCAAATTCAAATTAATTTTACTTATATTTATATTACCACAAAGCCCTTGTTATGGAAAAAAAAAGTTATCTCTGTGATAATTTAAATAATATATTAAGTAAACTCATTAAAAATTTTTCCTCTTTAAAAAAATACAGATTACTTATGGTAAGATGTTGTTGTTGAGTGATGTTGAGTTGGTTCTGACTCATAGTGACACTGTATAGGGTTTCTGAGGAGTTTGAACCACCTACCTTGCAGTAGTTCAATTCAATCTTGTGGTCCAGTGCTTTATCCTACAGCTTCACACCAGGAGATGTTAAAATGAATATAAAAATCCTACTAATAAAATATTTTCTTACAGCCATGCCTTCTGCGTGCTTGCTAAACAAATGAATTTTACAAGGAAATGTTAAAATCTTTCCTTCATGGGGAATATCAGTATTACTTCAAACTGTGTGAATATCTCAGAAGTGCATTTATTAGAATGCATCTGCACAGTTCAGTTATACCAGCCTGTTCCTTTCTGAACTATAACTCTGTATTTTAAAAATAAATATATTATCCCTCCCCTCCTATTTTTCAAGTGAAAACGTATTTACAATAACCCTTTTAAGAAATACAAAAGAGAAGAAGTAAGAAAAACACTCATACTCTACACCTGAAGAGACCAATATTCAACACCTTTAACTAGAGAAGGCCCAAAACAATTCCTGATATGAAAAAACCAAACCCATTGTCATCAAGTTGATTCCAACTCTTAACAGGCCTGTAGCACGTGGAACTGCCCCTTAGGGCTTCCAAGGCTATAAATCTTTATGGAAGTGGATTACCACATCTCTCCCACAGAGCAGCTAGCTTGGTGGATTATAGCTACTAACCTTTCGGTTAGTTGTGTGCTTAACCACTGCACCACCAGGGGTTCTGGTATGCTGTTGTTAAGTGCCATTAAGTCAGTTCCTACTCCAAGTGACCCTATATAGCGTTTCCAAATAGCACTTGGTGGATTTGAAAGGCCAAACTTATGATTAGCAGTCCAGTGCTTAGTTTAGCAGCATACCACTGCATGACCAGGGTTTCTGGTATGTTGTTAAATGCCTTTGAGTCAGTTCTGACCCATACCGACCCTGTGTAAAGTTTTCAAAGAGCAGTTGGTGAGCTTGAACCACGGACCTTGCGGTTCAAACTGACTTTGCAGTCTAGTGCATTAACCCACATTGCCGCATTAATAAGTATTTGTTGGAAGAGTGAATGAATGCATGAAAAAGACTACCTTTGGTTCATTTCCTTCTAATATTTTCCCTGTGCATATTTTTTGCACACTAGTTATTTGGTATATGAGGGGACTCTTTAAAGTTAGAAGAAAATATGGGATTGAAAAATAATGCACTTTTTCCATTTTTTCCTTTTTTTGGGTGGTGGGTAGAAGTAAGGAGTGAGATTTAGGGTTGGTACTATGGCGAGGCTTGCCTAGGCCTAGAACTTCTTTTATTGTTAGGTTATGTAGTGGTTACAAGTTGAACTGCTAACCTCAAGGTCAGCAGTTCGAAACTACCAGCTGTTCCATGGGAGCAACATGAGGCTTTCTGTTCCTGTAAAGATTTACAGCCTTGAGAGAACAAACAAGATGGTGGATCAGGTGGAAGTGCAGTGAGGAGCTCCATCAGCAACACACATAATACTGGACCCAGCAGGCTCAGAGGATGGTCCCAGAACTCTGAACCACATATAAAGGAATATTTAGAAGGTTGGAAGGCTTACAACTAGAGGGTTTTGTAGCAGAAGCAAGAAATGCAGTGCTTTCTAATTCAAGATGCTCAGGTGCTCCTGGAGCTGCCATCTTGGGTGAGACTGAGTGGGGGAAGGATCAGAGCAGCCACAGATGCCTGACAGAACTGCAGAGATAAAGGTGTGGACGTTCTCTTCTTTTTGTATCTGCTCATTGGTCTCTTGCTGTCTGTGCACCTCCATTCTGGTAAATAGAGGGGGTACCTGAGCGAGTGGACACCCGACCCCCCCCTCACCCCTGGACGGTTCTACTATGCATGTGCACAGAACTCCTTAATATTTAAAGGCACAGTTTCCACTTAAAACCAAACAGCAGTGCAAAACGACAACAGCTGGCCTTGAACTGTTTATCACTAGGAAAAAGGCCTGAATGGGGATTGTGGAACAGAACAGGCAGACTAAAAAGGAAATAGACCGAAAATTAAATCCTGAGTTACGTCACAATGACCAACGGTGGCAAATTGAAATTTCTCAGGAAGAAGAGTGAAAAGGGAAGCCCATCTCCTGATCACATCTACCTGGAGGCATTCAGAAAGCATAAAAAATACCGAAATACACACTCATCTAAGTATTAAGGCCACAGATAACTCCTGAATATGCCCAAAAAACAGAAACAGATGACTATATCAGCACATGTCCAGAAACGAGATAAAGTGAGGCAAATGAACTGGAAGTAGACCTACATTCCATACTGGAAGATGGGCAGGCTTTGGAAAAGCCTGAGAAGGAATTCAGAAAAATGATTATAAAATGCATCAAAACACTATACAATGGATTTGAGAAAATAAGAAGTCAGGAAAGCACTACAAGAACAATCAAATAAGATACATACAGCATTGGAAACAATTCAAAACCTACAGAAAGAGGGCCAAACGAATAATAATAGACTATCAGAAATGGACAATACA